TTACTCCTATGCTAGGTATAAGGGTGTGTTGAGAGATTACAAATTTTGTTTGACCGAGGGAAGATTAGTTTTCAACAACCTAGTCTCCACCCGCGATCATCGTCCACCCCTTGTATAAAGAGCGACAAGACGATGTCGCACCTATGTAGTCACGTCCCCCCAATCTTAAGACACGTGTACTCATCTAGTGGACAAAATTGCTGAGAGAGTTTCCGATTTCTTCTTTCTCACTAGATTTGGATATATGCCTCCAGTCTTGAGACATGTATTCCTATGTTGTGGACATCGAGTATTGCATTTTGATCAGCGAATTGTCAAGAACTTTATTCCGACTGCAAAAGCCCAACTGTTTAGGCTGCGAAAGACAAAACATTCTTTTTATCATCTTTTCAAATTGTTAAAATCAGGCTAAAGTTTCAATGACGTATCGAGGGACTTTAGACCAACGATGACATGATTGGGAGGACACTATCCCCTTTTAATCCTTTTCAAACCGATTTCTTCTCATGACATGACATCACCCAGAACACCTTTACTTGTGAAAGTGTTCTACATTTGCAAAGAATCAATCTAGATTGTTTAGCACATTAAGACTAGAAAATACTTTTTCTTGTCTAAATAGCTACTTGTCTCAAACACTTAGCGAATCAAGGATTGTTTCGACATCCTTAGCATTTCTGAAAGATTCTTTATTCTTTGAGAACTTCGCAGAATGAGTCTCAGATTTATTTCCTTGACTACTTTGATCATTGTCTATTCTAGACTTGATCAAAGTGGGGGATAATAGTAGACGCCTAATTTTGGCCTCTTGTCCTAAAAGGAAGTGCGATGATGTTACAAAAATCCATTCTTCATATTAGATCAAGGTTGAAGTGTTTATGGACTACGAAATGCATTATGAAGTAACTTAAAACTCATATTTGCAACCAAGTAATCTTAGAGCCTTGTCCAATTACTAATTAGGCCTAAAACGTGCTCATACATGTTTAAAGTTGATAAGTAACGGACCCAAATACGACAAATGCAATGATTCGATCCAATGGATCTTACATTGTTGAAAACCGAGCCTAGAAGATAAAACAGCCATAATATTTCCATTCATGGCCTATAAAAATGGATAGCACTTTCAAAGAGCTTTCCAACTATATATTATAATCCCAATTCCAAGTTAAAACGAAGAAGTTATGATTAAAACACTAAACCGGGCCCTAAAAACCAACACCCTTGCACTCCAACGGCCATATATTTTTATCCATAACTGATTTTAACCTAATTATAACAGAATTGGAAAGTAGACATTCAGATATTTCCAATGATATCTCACACGCATAAATCAAACTTTGCAATAAAAAGTTATGGAAGTTTTAAAAACGCGTTTCCGTATAAGGCAAACCGCATCCCGCGCAACTCAATAAGTTGCGCGCGCGACTCATTGAGATGCGCGCGGCACCCAGCGTGACTCAGATAGTTGCGCGCGCCACCTGACAGTGCATCTCTAAAACCCTAAACCTAGATCCCTACGCCTATAAATAGGGGTCTTCGTTTAGCATTACGGGGACCGAAAAATCAAAATTAAAACCATAGCATTCTCAAAACCCTAATCTCTCAACTTCTCTTACTATCATACTACCTTTTCTTCCCAAATACTTTCCAACCCTAACTGAGTCCATTGATGTCCTTGGAGGTACGAAGAAGAAAGAAAGTTCATAAACGCATTAAGCGGAGATTTAACATAAAAGAAAAACGATTAGTTTCCTGAGGACTTAGATAAATCACTTTTCTTTTATTGTTTAAATAACTTTGATTGAATAAGCAGTGTTATTTGATCACTTCAAAAAAAATTAATTAATTAATTCACATAGTATTATTTCGTTTAATCAAGACTACAATTTTATAATTAATTGTTGTTTTATCACTTAAGACAAGGCGAATATTGTTTATTTTGTTCTTTTCACGAATATTTATTAAAAAAAGAATAATGATTTTGCAATGTTATTCCTACGTGGTTAATGATTGTCAATAAAATCAACTTACTTAGTGTTTAGGTATCACGTTGTATATATTGTTTGGTAATGAGATTGTGAAAAAAGAAGAGCTAGTAGAGGCCGTACTAAGGCTAAGATATCGATTCCCCTCTAAAGGGAACGTTATCTTAGTACCCTCGCTCCCGAACTCATTTTTGGTTTATGTAGATCAATTTGGGCATGGGTAAGCTTACGATTTGTGCTAATTATCCATTGAACTCTACTTGGGAGAAAGGCATGAACGAGGTTCTCATTAGCTGATATCTGAAATGAATCTATTTTGCTTTAAGTACTGATTTGCTTTGTTTTTGATGTGTTTTTCCAGTACTTAAAGGTTCTATGCAGAACTTTGTAGCTTTTCTCAGTAATTAGTCTTAGTTGTTTTATAGTTCAAGGCAGTGTATTAAAGTTAATTTTGCATGTGAATACAGATGGGGTTATAGTGTGGCTAACCTTCAATGTCCTATGCAATTAATACGTTGTATTTTAGTTTTATGTATTGATTATTTGAGATGAACTGAGGTTAAGTATAATTTTAGGGTTATATTAGTAATATACTTTCCTGTCGATAATTCTTTATACACCTTTTTTTTTATTATAACTTACATATTCAGAGTATTAACTTGAATTTGTTTCAAATTTGATACAAGTCCACAATTTAATATGCTATTTTATAAAAGATATGTACATAACAATAGCTTCTAACTGCTAATGCAGATTTAAAACCAATCACTATTTTAGACTATTTATTGGGAAGGGAGACAATTTATACGGTGCTTGCAAAGTGACAAACAAGAGATCTTAACTTATACAGGTATTACAGCTATAAGGTTCGAGAAATTGTGCAATATAATTTACTCTTAGAACAAAATTAGAGATTAGTTGGCTATGTGTCTTTGATATCCACTTTTTCGGATACCGTAATGTAGGTTACTGTTTGAGACATTGCCTTAAGTTGCCTCTATGTCTTCGATATCCATTCTTTCGGATAGATAGAAAGCAAAGAAAAATAGCATAAAATATTAAAATGTTGTTAAGCTAAAAGTTTCTTCTAAACCATGAAAGACAAGCAATCACATTAGAAATCCGAAGATAACTCACATGCATTGTGATCTAACCATGTGTCACTCAACCCTGAGCCCCAAATTGGGTTTGGTTAGGCTAATAACTTTTTGGCCCGTGTTCATGACCCTTCACCCAGATCCACGGCCCATGCCACATGGCGCCGCCACCGTGGCAGCCACTTGGCGGCTGCCAATGTGGCTGCTGCCTCTTAGCGGCTGCCAACGTGGATGCTGCCTCTTGGCGGCTGCCAACATGACTGCGGACACTTGACGGCTGCCAACGTGGCTGCTGCCACTTGGCGGCTGTCCCTTGGAGGCTGCCAACGTGGCTGCTGCCACTTGGAGGCTACCAACGTGGCTGCTGCTACTTGGAGGATGCCAATGTGGCTGCCACATGGCACTTCCACGTGCGCTGCCTTGTGTAACGCTCCTATTTGGTGCGCTTCCTTAGCCTTTCGCGTGGCTAGGGTTTTAATTATTACTTGAAGCACTTTCCCTTTTCGCCAATTACTAAATTTTGGCTTGAATTTCGACGCTCCAAGCTCAAATTTCTCTGGCGTCTAAATATTTATTACTCGGGTGACAAATTAATTCCTTCCGAATTAATTTGTTGCATCAGTTCGTTAGTTGCTTGGGTGTGACCTGAAGGGTTCAGTCAGTATTAAGCTATAATATTTATTACTCATTAATATTAACAATCGGAAGCGGCCTCCACCCAGGCATTCCGATCACTTGACCTCACTGAATAATTAGCTTTCGAATCATTACGAACCCTCTATCGAAATAATACACTTGTTGGAATGACACAATTTCTTTCAACCACTTAGAGGGGATTACCTCACGCTCATATAGTTTTATGGGCCGATCTCGTTGAGTTTCCGTCGTAATTTTGATGGTAGGCCATTGTGGAAGCTGCAAGTCCGGGCCATACACTTGGCTCGAACTAGAACTCTTCTCAATTAGTGTTCTTGCTCTCTTTGAAGCCATTTGATGATATGGGTTTGTAAAAATTTGTTTGAAATTGGGTAAAATTGGTGTAGGAATGTAGAGGATGAAGAGAGGAGAAGAAATATGTAAAAAAAATTTTGAATTTAGGTAAGAATTGGAGAGGAGATCTTAGAGAGAAGGTAGAGGTTTTAAGGTTTTAGAGAGAGAAAGAATGGTGGAAAGAAGAATAAGTAGGAAAGAAAGAAGGAGGAAAAAGAAAGAAGAAAGGGATGTGGGCGTCCGATTGCCGCACCTGGTCGCCCGGTCAGGTGATCTGATATTTCAATTTTCGCTTTTCTCGAGCTCGGTCGGGCGCCAACTCACCCAATCCAGCGGAAAAATAGTCCGTACTCGTAAACTCTCACACCCGGTCGGGAACCATCATGCCTGGTCGGGCGAAAATTGTTGAATTTTCTCCTTAGCTCTCGCGCACGGTCGGGCGAATTTCTTCTTTTTAGAAATCTCTTCTCGCTCCTGGTCAGGCGCGCTACAACACTTGAGTCCGATTTTTTTCCTTCTTTTCTTGTCTCCTAATTTGACTAACTTTTTTTTTCCATCAAACCTGTACAAAACCTCATAAAATTCATTAAATTCCTTCCTCTCTCCTCACACTAAGAAAAAGCAAGAAAGAATACTAAACTAAAAAGCAAGAAAATACGGGTTGCCTCCGCAAACCGCTAGGTTATCTAGGTCCTGTACAACCCTCTTACCACACGTCGAGAAGTTGAGATCCTTCACCTACTGTCTGGTCGGGCGGTTCCTCACCCGGTCGGGTGATTTTTAGACCACGAATTTGCTTCCTGATACGCCCGGTAGGGCGCCAACTCACTCGATCAAGCGGTGTAACCTTGGCTTAAACTAGTGGTTCTTTGCTACTGCTTTCTAGGGAACCCTTTTTTGCTTTTGATTTCCTTTGTTCTTTACTTTATTGGGCAATTGCAACTCGATTCATTGGAACTCTCACTATAAGCTCAGATTTCGCAATTTGCTCACTTTTCTCCTCCTTCTCATCTTCAAAACCAAGCCCTTCAATGTAAAGGGCTCTTCCTACTGCACCAACTTCCTCTTTCCATCTGTTTATTTCTCCTGCAGAAGATTAAACACAAGATACCACCTCCAAGGGATCTTTAACAAGGGCTTGGGGCTTATTAGAACAATTATCAACCACACCAATACTAAAACATTTCTCCTCTATCATAGGGCTTTTAGGGGCATTATTCAAATTAAAAATAATTTTATCTTCCCCCACAGATAGCGTCAGTTTACCACTTTTCACATCTACAATTTCTCCTGCAGTATTAAGGAATGGTGTACCCAAAATAATTGAGGTTTGCAAATCCTCAGCCATATTAAGAATAACAATACTAAAACATTTCTCCTCTATCATGGGGCTTTTAGGGGCATTATTCAAATTAAAAATAATTTTATCTTCCCCAACTAATAGCGTCAGTTTACCACTTTTCACATCTATAATTGCTCTTGCGGTGTTAAGGAATGGTCTACCCCCATATCAAGAACAACAAAATCAATAGGTTTATAAAATTTACCTACTCTAAAAGAAACATCCTCTAAAACACCTAGGGGGTATTTAAAAAAACGGTCTACCATTTGCAGAGTGATATTGGTAGCTTTTAATTTACCCATATTTAGCTTAGAACACACAGACAATGGCATGACACTAAATCTAGCACCCAAATCATATAATGCATTATCAATCATCATATTGCTAATATGACAAGGGATAGAAAAACTACCCGGATCTTTTAGTTTAGGTGGAGATTTATTTTGTAGTACGACACTACATTCTGCAGTAAAAGCAACTGTCTCTACCTTATTAATAAACCTTTTCTTAGTCAATATTTCCTTCATGAATTTATCATATACAGGAATTTGTGTAATCAATTCTGCGAAAGGAACCGTTACTTGCAAATTTTTCACCATCTCCGGGAACTTAGCAAACTGCTTATCCAAATTAGTTTTTAAATGTCGATTGGGGATGGAAGTTTGACAAATGCTTTTGAACTCCGCTATTCTCATCCTGAGTTGCAACATTCCTTGGTGCTGTACCCTGCAATGTATTATCAGAAATATTAATACTACCCTTGAGCCCTTTAGGTTATTAGCAACATTGTTTGGTATAACAGAACCAAGATTAGCATTTTTCATGGAAACATGTTCATCCTCTCTGGGCATAAGGGGCCCATCAAAGTGTGAACCACTCCTAAGGGTAATTGCAAAATCTTGATCTATAGGTCTTGTTGGCTGCGATAGTAGGGCTCTCTGTTGGCGGGCTTGTAGAGTAGAGGAAATATGCGCAATTTGATTATCTACGATTTTGTTATGGGCTATGATCGAATCAATTTGAGAATCTCTACTCTCCATGTGCTTTTGCATACTAGCTAGCATCACTCTAATTTCTGAAAAAACAAGGTCAGAAGATGAGGAGGGTTGTTGTGGTTAGGTTTTCTAGCCAGAGTTGGGATGGTAATATTTCTGTTGTGGCTGTTGTGGTGCTTGTTATTGTTGTGGGGGTAGCGGGTTTTAAACATTGGTGCTTCGATAATAAAGATATGGATGGTTCTGGAGCCCAGGAATGTAGGTATTGGAGTATGGGTCATTCTGCCTATAATCTTGAAAGGCATTAACTTGCTCCATGGAACTCCTGCAATCTTGTTCCCAATGACCTACAATCCCACAATTTTCACAGAAAGCATCATTAGAATTATTTTTAATAGCAGAAACATTAGCTACATTTGCAGTACTAAGATTATCTAATTTCTGACAAATAATGGTTAATTGAGCTTGCAAAAAGGATACGTAGTCAACACTATATTTCCCCTTGTTAGCAAAACCTCTAGATTTCTATATTGGGAATTGTGAATTGTCATATCTTCGATAACTTGACCTGCATCATCAACATTCATAAATCTCCCACTAGCTGCAGAATCTAAAATTATTCTAGATGAATTTCCAATCCCATTATAAAAGGCTTGGATCAACTTCCACTGTGTTGAATTATGGTGGGGACATACTCTCTGCAGATCCTTGAATCTTTTCCAAGCCTCATATAAAGTTTCATCTGGCTCTTGGGCAAAGTTTTGAATTGCATTCCTTAGCAAAGTTGTCCTCTCTGCAGGGTAGTATTTGTTATATAAATTCAAACAAGAGTCTTTCAATTAGTAATACCAAGTGCAGTTCTATTCGAACCATTAAACCATAATTTAGCCTTCCCACATAAAGAGAGAGGAAAAACGATCACACTGATTTGGTCTTTTGTGACCATAGCTTGCCTGATGGTATTGCAATATTGATAGTAGTCTGCAACATGAAGATTTGGGTCTTCACCCTTAGCTCCATTGAGTTGCTTCCTTTCTATCGTCGTGATAAATTGGGGTTTAATCTCAAATTGCACTCCATCAAGAGTCGGAGTGGGATTAAGATGTGGAAAATCGGTTAGTAACGACTGCGAATAATTGTAATACCCCGTATTTTTATACATATTTTATTTAAATTAAGTATTTTATAAAGGTATTTAAATAATTTTAATATTTTAATTATAGTATTTTAATTATTTATCCTATGTAAGTTCGGAAATATTTTTACTAAAGGAAAGTTTGTTTAATTATTTATTTTATAAAAGTTGGGGTTTTATTTTAGAAAATTATGATTTTAACAAGTTTATTCTAAAAGAGGAAAGTTTAGCGTAAAAGGGTGGTAGAGAAGGGGTATAAATATCCCTCTTATAAGGCAAATCAACTTTGCCCAGAGTGGAGAAAACCCAAGGTAAACTTCTCTCTCCTATTTCCTTATTTTCTTTATTTTTTTTTCTATCTCCTTTTTTCCCCTTCCCCTTCTTTTTTTTCAGCTGCCCACCAGCACCACCACTGCCAGCCACCGGCAGCAGGTGGCTATCGCTGCCAGCAGCGTTAGCCGCCGGCGGGGTGGCTGCCGCTACCCTTCCTCTCTCTTTTTCGGAAAAAAAAATTAATCTTTGTTTCAAATATCAATTTAATCCTAGATCTAAATATTAATTATGGGTTTTGTGATTTGATTTTTGATGTTTGATTATAAGTATTATGTTCATTAATTTTCAGATTATGTTATTAATTAAAAAGCCCTAATTTTTGAAACCCTAGGTTCTAGATTTATAAATTATTTAAGGATTATGATATATAATGGTGTAAACCTTTGATCAAAGTGTTTTAAGACTAAATTACCGCAAGATTTAATTAAAATATAGTGCTGGAATTTTTGGTAAAGCATTAAAAATCAAGTTTCTTTAAGGAATTTCAATTACCCATTAATTGAGACTTAAGTATGGTGTTTTAAATATAATTTCAGCTTATTTTAACTTAATTATAAGGGGTTTTATAATAGTATATATAGCTGGAATTTTTTTAGAGTGGATTTTAATACTCTATTATGACTTTAATGTGTAGGAGACTTTGAAGTAAGCAATTTCTGTTAGTCGTGGCGATTTTAAGGTCGTACTCAAGGTACGTTCGCGTACTTAGTATATTTTGGTGATGTAGTATCATGCTAGGCTTGATTTAAATCAATTACAAGTAGTATCATGCTAAGGTCTATGATTGGAATTGTGAAATTATTGGTGTTAGTGATTGAATTGTGAAGCATGAATTATTTGTGATGGTTTATGGATTGGAAAATTATATTTTGGCATGATTATATGGACTACACTTTTATTTATGGCATATTAGTATGCATGTTTAATTAAACCACATGTTTAATTTGGCTTGGTATATTGAAAAGGAATTTTATTATGGTTCATATAATTTTTATTGATGCTTTAAGCATGGGAAAGGAGCTATATAAGTGTCTATGTACACGAGGAATAAATTTTATGTTGGTGCCTTAGTGCACTTAAGGTGTTTTTAACACCGAGGGATAGGATTTTTGGTGCTTTATGCGTTTAAGATGTCTTTGACACTGAGGTAGAATTAAAAAGGGTTCAACATTAAATATTGTGTGGTCACTAAATGTTCAAGAATTAAATTGGTATGTTTGTTGATTGAATAATTGTTGTTGATTGAATTAATATGTTTTGTGAGTCATCACCAAGTCTAATAATATGTAAATAACGTAAAGTGAAAGAGATTACGCACCAAAACTCTTGGAACGTATATACCTTGAGTATGAACATACGGGGGGAATTATGGGGTTTTATATTTAACCATAACTTCTAATGGAGTACAGGACGCTGTACATTCCTTTTATTTATTATTATGCGCAGGAATTCCGCCACCTGTGTGTGGTTTTGTCGCTGGCACGGTTAGCTCCTGTGTCAGTTAACCTCAATTTATTTGGGGATGTAGAGTGGGAAACCCGTTCGATGCGTAATCAACGCTAAATAAATTATTTAGTGTCTAGATAATGAGTCTTATTGAATGTTGTGTGTGCTTGTAACAGGTGCATGGAGGTAAGTGTGTGTGTTGATAGGTTAAAGCATGTTAATGTGTTTAATTACGCTTATGTACTGAGCTTTGCTGATTGTGTGTGTCTGTGTGTTTTGGCCATGTCTTTATCTTGGCCCTATGATGACCCATTTTCAATGGAGAGTAGTGGAAGCAAGTAGAGATAAGCTTTTCAGGTATTGAAGCATATTCATGACGGGGCATGAGTGAAGAGCGAATCATGCTAGTTTCTATTAGTTTACGATGTGTTTTATGCATTGAATATTTATGGTGTTATTTTATATTTGTACTAACGCAAGGATTTGGATTTGGTTTGGTTTAAATAAGGGCCTTTAGTGGTTCCAAGTTGTAGTTTGATTTTAATTGACTTCGTTTCTTTTGGTTTTAAGCTTTACTTTCGTTTGTTGACTTTTATGTTGACTTATTTTAAATGGTTTTGATTTGAAGTCTTCCGCTGTGTATCTTTGATATTTTCCTTAGCCGTTCTCACGGTGGCGGTAATGTCTTAGATATTCCTAATTCGTATTTAAAAAAGGGGGGGTAAAAGTGGTATTTTAAGGAAAGAAATTTCTAGGGTGTTACAAAGTGGTATCTGGGAGCTTTGGTTGATATTTTAGATTACCACTAACCCGAAAACATTCTTTTTACTACATTTTAAACTTGGCCAAGTGCTAATTTAATTATGCAGTATTAATTTTGTTCCGATTTTATTTATTTATTTATTTTTAAGTAGAACCGAATTTTTTTTTTTTGGTCCGAAATTTTTTTTTTATGTTTTTTAGGGGACACTCGAATTTTTTTTAATAGGGCCGAATTATTGGCCCCTTTTTTTTTCCTTAATTTCGAATTTTTTTTAGCAGGGTAAAAATATTTTAGTTTGTTAATTTTTGCAGGGAGCAAGGATTGAGGTAAGAATTATGTGTTAAACGCTTTTATTAACATGTTGGTGAGATTGGGTAGGAACAGAAACGGGCATATAGGCTAGAATTTAATTTCTCTCCTATGTGCATAATTTTATTTTGTGGTGTTCAAGCATGTTGTATGACTAGATGTTTGTTAATGAAAGCATGCAATATGTGTATTATTATATGTGATCTTTCAAGATTGTATGATTGAACAACGAACTTAATTTCCTGCAAAGACTGTATTATTTATTTTATTTTCTTTAGGAAGGGAATTCTTTATTAAGCCTTTTCCTCTACAGGATGCCAATCTTTCCTAGCAAATTTACTCAAATAGGATCACTTGTTAAGAAACATAATGAACACCCCTACTACTTTGTAGAAAAGATCATATACTTTTGTTCCTACATGAGCAATGTCTTACGAGACAGAGTTTATGACACCCCTGATCGTATTTCGGCTATGATTGTCCATTGTCTTCCAAAGGTGCCTCCTTACATTGCTGTCAAATAGAGATTTTCTGATTTTTACCTTCCAGGAGACATCCCAAATTACCATAAATACAAAGACTATTATGTCCAATGGTATCCAGATTATGCTTTCTTGACTAAATATCTCGTAAGAGTGGAAAAATCTCATTGTCAGCACTTAAATCTTCCCTAACCTGACTACTACTACGATAATCCAGTAGGGAACAATCCTCCTCCTAATCAACAACCATGAAATTCTTCTTCTTCTTCGTCAGGGGGTAATCAGGCAGAAAATGGAGAACAACAAGAGGGAGATAGTTCACTTATGGAGATTTATAATCCTAATCCACCTCCAACTCCAATAATAATAGACATTTCATCGGATAAGGAGGAAGAAGGGGAGTTTGTACAAGTAGAACAGAACCTGAGTCACCTGAACCAATGGAGGAGTCAAACGATTCTGATTTCGATCTTTCAAGCTACAAACAATCTACTGACAAAAGGGACAATGTTCGACAGGATTAGACTCCTATAATTTTTCGTTCATTAGGAACTCTTAGTTTATTTTCAGTATTGTC